GTCCACTCCCTCTAGATGCCTATGGTTCCCTTATTAGCCCATCTCTAGGACTGCTGCCCCAGACCCCAGCCCGGCCTGGCCAGGTCCAGCGGGAGCCCAGAGTGGGGGAGGCCCAGGAACATGGCTGCCCCTACTGGGTGTTCTCCCTGTATAAGGGACTCCCACCCCAGCTGGCACTCCTAGTTGCCCACGTAAAAGATGTCCCACTTGGTGGTCCAGGGACAGAAGCAGGGATGGGGGTGTCTCATGGAAGCAGACCCGTGACCCATTTCACCCTCTCGACCCTCTCTTCCTCTCTGGGGCCTCACCTTGGGTTTCCCTTTGTCTGTGTCCTTCCGCCTCCCCCCTTTTCTGTGTTTCTGCGTGTCTCCATCCCTCTGTTCCATTTCTTCTCTTTTCCTTCCGTCTTCTGTTGACTCACCCCTTTCTGCCCCTACCCATGATCTCCCAGGCTGCCAAACTGCCCATGTCCATCATCATCATTGGCGTGGGCCAGGCGGAGTTCGACGGTAAGTCCCCATCCCCCCAGGTATTCCCCCAGAGGCTTCAGGCCCTTGGGAATGACCCTTCCCCAAAGAGTGAGAGCTCATGGGTGGGTGTGACTGTCTGGGTGAGCACAGGGTGTAAGGGTGTGTTTGTTTGCACAGGGAAGGGTGTGTCGGGCTGTGTACCCATCCCAAGGCTGTGGGGAGGAGGCCCAGTCACTCCTCCCTCCTCCAACCCTGGGAGCTTGGGGAGGGTGGGGGAGCTGGAACACTGGGCTAGAAGCCAGGGGTTCACCTGGTTGGGCTCCTCCTGTCTCCTGGCCTCAGTTTCCTCATCTCTAACATGGGGATCTGGTCTGATGGTCTCTGTCTTGGATTGGCCTGGGATTGGAGGACAAGTTCCACTGGTGTGCCAGGCCCAGGTGCCCACCATTAATTCACCCCACCCCCAATGCCTCTCCTCACACAGCCATGGTGGAGCTGGATGGTGACGATGTGCGGATCTCCTCCCGGGGGAAGCTGGCAGAACGGGACATTGTCCAGGTGAAACCCAAATCCTGCCTGCTCCAAGGAAGATGCAAGAGCCCCTCTAGCCAGGCTGGCCTTATACACCCCCCTTTTAGAGACTTCTCTAGAAAGGGGCCCTGGCGAGAGCCCCAGAGTGGCCTGGCCACCGGAGAAGGGAGCGGGAATCAGTGCTTGGGTCACACTTCTCCCCCAGCTGGACCCCTCTCTCCCATGTCTGAGACTCACCCCTAACGTTGTTACCCCGACCAGAATGCTCTGCCAGTGCTCTCTGAGCCCCCAGGTCTCCTTGGCCTCCTGCATGCAGAGCACTCACACTTGATATTTGCACCTTCCATTGTCTTCTGCTGGGCCGCCTTCCCAGTGGGAGGGCAAACCCTTGAAGGTGGGGGGGAGGTGTCTATAGTGTTGCTGCGGCCCTCTCCGCCCTCTCCGAGAACGGGCAGTGCTTGCTTAATTGAAGCCCTGTCTGAACATCCCATGTAGGATGGCAGATGTAATGAGCAGACAGGTCTTTGTCCTCAGGGTGTCCCTGCCCAGTCAAGCCTCAGAATGCACCTTAGTAAGCACTTCTGTCTGTGAATCTCCTGCAGACCGAGTCCCTAGTGTTTAGGAGATTGGGAATGAAAACTGACATTCTCCAGAACCCCTGGATTAAAAAGAAAAGAAAAAAGGAGGGGATGGAGGAGGGTTCATTCCAGGGGTAGAGAGCAAAGAGAGGAGGCTAGACCTCAGAGCAGGGGCAATCTGGGAGGGGGGACCCTTGCATAGAAAGGCCTAGAGCCAGGAATGCGCTGAGGCATTCAAGGGGTGGTGAGGGGCTCAAGGGGCCTGGGAGGAAGCCAGAGGGGCCTGACTTTAGGTGTCAGCGCGAGAGGGAAGAGGAGAAGCAGAGCCAAAGAGAGAGAGGTGGGGGGAGATGGGAAGGCCCGCTCTTACAAGCCAGGGGGCTCAGTCAGCGTTTCCTGAGCACCGGCTAAGTCCCTGTGTTGGTGCCAGGACTTCAGAGATTAAGTGCTCTTGTTTGGTGATGTATCCTGGCATGACGTAGACGCTCAGTACGAATCTGTTGAGTGAATGAGAGAACAGGGGCTATGAGAATTCACCACCATGGGGAGGGGGTGAGTGCAGAGGGCCGCGGCTGAGGAGGAATAGGACAGGAACCCAGGCCTGGAGATGTGGGGGCTGTGGTCCAGCCGGAGACCCTGCCTGACCCTGCCTTTCCTCTGGCCAGTTCGTGCCCTTCAGGGACTACGTGGACCGCACTGGCAACCACGTGCTGAGCATGGCCCGCCTGGCCCGCGATGTGCTGGCCGAGATCCCTGACCAGCTGGTGTCCTACATGAAGTCACAGGGCATCCGCCCGCGCCCCCCGCCTGCGGCCCCAGAGCCCTCGCCCCCACAGTCCCCAGCCCGCACGCCCCCTGCTTCCCCCCTGCACACACACATCTGAGCGCTCTTCCCGAAGTCCCCTGGCCTGTGGCGGGCGGCTGGGGCCCGGGGAGGCCAGTGGAAGTGTAGGCGGGGTCTCCAATTTGCCCCGCCCAGCGGGGGGGGAGTATAGGCGGGGTCTCTTGCAATTTGCCCCGCCCAGCCTTTGTAACATGTGTGCCTGGGAGGCCAGCAGGAGGCGGGGCCTCTGAAGACTCCTCTCTAATTTCCTAGCCTTATGGCCCAACCCAGGCAATTGGGAGGGTACAGGTGGTGGAGGTGAGGTTCTGGGCCCCTGCGTTTCTCATTTCCCCCTGATACCTGGTTCTGGCCCAGCCAGGAAGGTGTTAACAGTGAGGAGAATTGAGGTCCCCCTCGGCCCACCTGGCAATCCCGTCTGCTCCTACATGGCCGTGAAGCCTGGGCTGGGCCTCCCTCCTCCTGTGGTGTCTATTTCTATACCTGGCCCCTGCCCTCCTACCCCAGTATCTATCCCATCCCCATTTCCAGTGAACCCTGTGAGGCTGCTGGGTTTGCAGGGATGCCTGAGCATGTGACCCTTCCCAGGGACACTTGCATGCTCTGGGAGCCCTGCAGACCCATGCAGGGGAGGCTGTGAGGGGAGGCCGTAGGCCACATGGTGGGCTGGGAATGGAGGCCTTTTGGGCACAGGGTCCTTTCTGGTGCCTCTCAAGCCCAGAAGGACATGGTTTTAGATACACAGATCCACAGGCCTTTCCTTGGTGTAGACCCACAGGCATCTCTACAGCTGACTTCTGATTCCAGGCATCCCCTCCTCTTGCCAGAGCTGCCTGGGACCCCTGGGGCCCAGGCCTCTGCTACCCCCCTGGAGGCCTTGGAAGGAGCGGTCCAGCCGCAACACTCCTACACTGCCCCTCTGACCCACGGGGATAAGAGATAGAGGTCCTGGGTTCAAGCCCTGCCTCTAGCTGCCGCCCGTGGGAACCCAAGCAAGGCCCTCCTGCCTTCTGGGTCTCAGTTTCCACATCTGTAAGTCAAGAGGGTTGACCAGATGGTCCCGGATTTACCTTCAGCTCTGATGTCCTGAGAGTCCATTCATGCCATGCCCAGCTCCCCCCATCCCACTCCTTAGCAGTGCGACCCCTTACCCCAGGCCGTCTTGGCCCTTGGGGTCACCTTGTTCCATCCTGTCACCCCAAATCCACCTGAGTCCTTCAACCTTGGGCTCTGGTGTCTGAGCCCAAGCTCCTGCCCCTGCTGTGGGGAAGGTGAGACAGGTGATCTCACCCCTGGGCCCAACCAGCTGCCCAGCCTTGGTCATGCATGCCAGCCCCTCCTGCAGCATGAGGCTCCGAGGCCCACTGCACATCCCATGCCTGGGCACCACCCCCCCTCCCCCCCGTGCCCGTCTGCTGCCCAATGCCGCTTCCCTCCCTGTCATGCATGATGGTGGTGTTTCTATGCTGTCTGGTCCTGTGCCCGTCTCTGAGACAGTCTCTGTGTGGAATTTGCCTTAAACTGGAGTAAATTTGGTTCTTTTACTAAAGTTTCTTGTTTTCCTTTCCCTGTGAAAAATAGAAAATATATTGCTGTTCGACAGAGTCCAGGTTCTCCTCTCCATCTTTCTTCCATTCTTTTGTTTAATGAAGATTTACTGAGCAACTACTATGTGCCAGGGTCAGTGCTGGGCACTCAGGATGCGGCAATGAACAAAACACAGGCCCCGTCTCCACATGGAGCTTACAACAAACACATAAATAAGACAGGAAAACCCAGTAAGCACTTAAATAGGTAGATAACTTAATTTCAGGTGGTGATAAGAGTCACAAAGACAAATAACAGAAAATAAGGGGCTAGAGAGGGACAGGGTGATATTTTAATGAGGTGGTTAGGGAGAGCCTCTCTGAGGAAGTGAAGGTTGAAATGAGCCCTAAGGAAATGAGAGAAGGAGGCACGATGGTATCCAAGGCCAAGTAGAAGGAACAGCAAGTGCAAAGGCCCTGAGGCAGGAGCATACTTCATGTGAAGGACAGCAGGGAGGCTTGTGTGATTGGAACTATATTAAGTAGGGAGATAGTTCAGGAGGTGAGATCAGGGTTGTGAAGAATCCAGAGTGCATAGGGCCTTGTGGGCCGTGGTTAGGGCTTTAGCATTACTCTTGAGTGAAATGGAGTCAGGAGGTGAGAGAGGTGAATAACATGATCAGATTATTCTCAAAAACAGGTGGGTCAGTTTATTACATTTGATCACCCACTGACTCATCCCTCAACAAGTATTTACCTAGCACTCACGCCAGGCCCTGCTCAAATTTGGAAACACTGATTCACACACAGTTGTACCCTCAGAGGGCAGCCCCTGCCCTCCGTGTCCCTCTTCATCTATCAACCCCTGTGGCCCTCAGAGCCCAGGATCTCAGGGAAAGGGGACTTCTCCCCTCCTCTGGGCAAGCTCGCTCTCAGATTAGCCCTCCAGCCAGCCATTCCCAATCTGCACATCACAAGAAATTTGGGACTAATTATACCAAAGTTGGGGACTTACTTCTTATGATTTTATAGTAAATTAGAGCTGATTCATGGCTGTCCCTATAATTAGATCACCCTCTGACTTGCATTCCGATGTGCTTGGAGTGGGAACCGGGTGGGGTCATAGCTTGGGAAGAGGGAAGTTCCCATAACCAGTGACCCATTTTGCCTCACCTTGGACGTCTGTGGGAAAGCGTCAAGCAGAGATGCCCACCTGGCAGGGGAATCAAGTCTCAGAGCCACCGCCCAAGAGGGGCCAAGTGCATCTTTACTGAGCTTGACACTGTAGCTTCTCTCCTGGGTTATTTCTCAAGGTATGGCCCATGAAACATTGTTTTTTTGGCATGGATTTTGGGGAACTGCCTACTCTGAGCCCCTCTCAGAGAATCCCAGTGGCCTTTGGAGCATTCAAGGCTCTGATAAGTCCTGCAGCGAAGAGACCAGTTTAACTTGGTTCAATCCGGTGTTTCCAAAGCTTTTTGACCATGGAGTCAGAGAGAGAGAGAGTGTGTGTGTGTGTGTTTAGCTGTAACACTGTTACCAAGCAGAAAACGTTGAACATTCTGTCTTAGGACTTTAAGTAGAGATCACCTCCCTGGTTCCACCACTAACACAGAAGACTGAGGCCTGCTACCAGGAGGCCAGAGGCAGGGCATGGAGTTTGGGAGCTTCTCAGAGGAGGTTGGGTAGGAGAGGTGGGGACCTTTCATTTCTCTGGAGAGAGGAAGGAAACCACAGAGAAGAAAGGAGGGCGTTCAGAAAGTCACGGCACAAAGGTTGACTTTGTGTTCCCTCGTGGGGCTGAGAGGTGTGTGTGACTGAGCTAGGAGAGGGCAGGCAGAGGAGGGAGAGGCAGCTGAAAGGCTCTCCTGGCCTCTGGGCTCCCACCCCGGGTGCAGCTGTCTTCCCTCCTCACCCCTATTTGCTCCACAGGCCCTCAGGATTAAGGACCCTGGACTGTCATTCCCCAGGTCATTCCCCTCCACACTTCTGCCTTTGGAAGTCCCTTTACCGATCTCGTGTCCACTCCCCTCAAGTGCCCCTGAATTAATAAAAATAAAATGATGATGATAATAATCGCGATGACCAACACTCATATGCACTTAGGAAGCAGCAGGTGTTCTGAGCGCTCTATGTGTGTTACGAGTATCTTTACAACAACCCTGTGAAGAAGGTGCTACCATTATCCCACTTTCTAGATGAGAAGACGGAGCCATGGAGAGGTTAAGGGACTTGTTCAGGGTCACACCACTAGAAAGTAGTAGAGCCTACAGGTATCTGAGTCCCAAGGTGGAATGGGAGCATCAACCTAGTTGCCATTTTGGTTGCTGTCTCACCTTTGCTGGGCCACCTGCCCTCTCTGGATCTCAGGGTCCCCACTGGTAAAATGGAGGGGACCGGCTCTAACGTCGCTAAGGGTCTTCCCATCTTTCCTGACTCTCAGCCCTCCCATCAGCCTATCTTCTCAGACCCTCGCCAGACCCCAGAGGCCTCCCGGGACCTGGGTTGAGGCCAGGCTGGATGCTCTCCATCACCATACCGGCCCCGCCCACACCCCCAGGGTGCCTGGCTGCCCTTGGCCTGCGGAAGAGGTCCCTGAGCCCTGCCCGGAAGGGGCGGGAGAGGTAGAAGCAGAGGATGGGGCTGACGGCACAGTTGGAATAGGCCAGGATGGTGCAAAGGCTGGACGCCACGAAAGCCACCGGCGTGGCAGGCAGGCCGCCCACGGCTGCCACGTAGCCCAGCACAGAGCAGGGCCCCCACATCAGCACGAAGACCACCAGCACCACAAGGATGAGCCCTGCGTTCTCCTGGTGCTCCCGGACGCTCTCCCCGCTGGGGCCACGGGGCCGTGTCCGCAGGAGCCAGCCCACGTGGCCGAAAGAGCAGCCCAGCCCCAGCGTACAAGGCAGGAAGGCCAGGGCTCCCAGCAGGCTGAAGTAGCAGGAGGCCTGGGCAGGGCTCAGGAGCAAGAGGCAGGCCGGGGCCCCCACGGCCCCCTCCTCCACGACCACCCTCTGGAACAGCCAGGTAGGCAATGATGCAGTGAGGCCCAGGACCCACGCGGCCCCACAGAGCAGCAGGCGGGCGCCCCGGCCAGACGGGAGGGCCACGTCGGGCCAGGCCACGGCCACGTGGCGCAGAAGAGCCGTGGCCACCATGCTGTAGAAGGTACAGAACATGGTGGCGTTGTTGGTGGCCTGGCTGGCAGTGCAGAGGACGGGGCCCAGCCACCAGTGGGGCCGCAGGAAGCTGAGCAGCAGCACGGGCACCACGCAGGCCAGGAAGAGCAGGTCGGACAGCGTGATGTTCACCATGAGGCTGTTGGTCAGGGCGAGGAGCGGACGGGGGGCGCCTGAGGCCCGGCCCACCACCACCAGCATGAGCCCGTTGGCCACCAGCCCCACCAGCAGGATGAGGCCGCAGACTCCGGCAAAGATGAGACGGAGCAGTCGCTCAGGTGTGGCTGTGAGCCCGGAGGTGAACGTGGCGTTGGGCTCCGGCCTAGGCTCCATCCTCCTGCTCCACACACACAAGGACAGTGTAGAAACCGGCCTCTTCCCCTGCTGAGTGCCCCTCCTTTCCCAGAGCCCTGCATCCAGGGGGCCCCCTTGGCATGCATCGGTCCCCTGAGACCTCACAACAGCCTGATGGGACGGGCTCGGTCTACACCGTGGGCTCAAGTCCCGACTCTGCTATGCTGTAGCTCCGTGACTTTGGGAAGTTACCTAATGTTTCCCTACCTCAGTTTCCTCAACTGTAGAGAAGTAAGGAAATAAAACCGATGTCAACAGTAACTGTTACAAAAGGGTAATTTTCATGCTCCTCTTTTTAACTTCTTTATTTCTAAAACTTCTGCGGGGGGGCGCCTGTGTGGCGCAGTCGGTTAAGCGTCCGACTTCAGCCAGGTCACGATCTCGCGGTCCGTGAGTTCGAGCCCCGCGTCAGGCTCTGGGCTGATGGCTCGGAGCCTGGAGCCTGTTTCCGATTCTGTGTCTCCCTCTCTCTCTGCCCCTCCCCCGTTCATGCTCTGTCTCTCTCTGTCCCAAAAATAAATAAAAACCTTGAAAAAATAAAAAAATAAAACTTCTGCGGGGATGGGGTGCCTGGGTGGCTCGGTCGGTTAAGCATCTGACTCTTGGTTTCGGCTGAGGTCGTGATCTCACAGTTCATGAGTTCAAGCCCCACACCGGGCTCTGCGCTGACAGCATGGAGCCTGATTGGGATTCTCTCTCTCTCTGCCCCCCCCACCACCCCCACCCCACCCCGCTCTCTCTGCCTCTCTCCTGCTCAGGCTCTCTCTTTCTTTCTCAAAATAAATAAATAAACTTTAAAAATATAAATAAATAAAATTTCTGCAGGGAGTGCAAAACGAATTTGGGGTGTGTGTGTGTGTCTATGTATATGCACGTGCATGCGTGCGTGCACGCACGCGCATATATATTTGTAAACAAAACCTTGCCTGCCTGTGAAACAGATTTTAATTCGAGGTTCAAGTAAGAAAGTGCATATGGAAGGGCTTTGAGAAGGTGTGAAGTCCCTGCCAGCGGTTCCCAAGCTTGTCTGTGCATGGGGATCACCTGAGGAGTTTCAAAATTACTAATGCATGGGTCCCAGTGACAAGATTTCATTGATGTGGGCTTTTTTGAAAGATTCCAGATGACTCTACGGGGCGGACCAGCTTGGGAACGACCGCCTTTCTATGGCTGTGCTGGGTACCCGGTGGGGGTGGGGGGAGGCACTGCTCCCCAGGTGTCGGATCTTCTCCCCCTCACTGCGTCCTACATGCTGAGAACATGGGGGGGTCCCCGGAACCAGGCTGGGAAACGGAGTCTAGACATCCCAGAGTCAGCCCAGGGGGGCTACTGTCTGCACCTGCCACCGTGCGGATCAGGCCGGGATCCCTAGCTTTCTTGGGAAGAGACTTGCCCATTAACCCAATAAATATGTCCTGAGTCTATACCCTGAACCAGCTTCTAGGGATCCAGCAGCAAACGTGACAGCTCCGTGGGGTCCTGATTCTACTTTCCTTCCCCTTTTCTCCTACACTGGAGGCAGGGGGAGTCGGGAGAGACCCCTCTCTGGCTCGGAGCCGGGGGTCCCCTGAGCCCCTGCAGCAGAGCCCTGCCTGGGGGACTTGCTTGGCCTCTGGGGCCCGAGGGCAGCCGAGAGGAGACCTCAGGGGGGCCTGTGTGAATTCTGCCTCCAATACCACGCCACTGCAAGGTCTCAGGCTCCTTCCAGGAACTGTGGGTGAGGGAGGAACCGAGGGACCAGCCTCAGTCCCTAACTGCCCTGTCTTCCCTTTCTTCATTCCCCCGGCCCAGGCCTGCTGCCAATGACAGAAGTGGAGACGAGGGGAGGGAAAGAAAGGGTCCAGGGCCCCGGCCCCGGCTCCACCTAAGCGTCCGTACCTTCCTAGGAGAAGCTCCGTAACTTCATGGCGACGCTTGTGGCCGCCAGAGCCTGGGTTCAAACGCCCCCTGCACCACCTGCTAGCCGTGTGGCTGCGGAAAGCGACTCATCCTCTGTGCCGCATTTTCCTTAGCTGTGAAGTGGGGATAATCACAAGCCTCATCTCACAGGGCTGATGTGAGGGTTGAATGGGGTGATACAAGCTAAGTGCTCGGAACAGTGCCTGGCGCGAAGTAGGAGCTTTGCAAATGATGCCTGTTCTGTTCCTGCCCACCCACCGTTCCAAAAATCTCTCTTCCCTGACACCTCTGTCCCCACTCCAGTTTGTCCCCCTGCCCTCCCCTTCTCCCTCCACCACCTGAGCCCCATCAGCCCAGTCCCGCCCTCCTTTTCTTTTTAAAAAAAAATTGTTTAAATGTTTATTTATTTTTGAGAAAGAGAGAAAGAGCGAGGGAGGGGCAGAGAGAGGAGATAGAGAATCCGAAGCAGGCTCCAGGCTCTGAGCTGTCACAGAGCCTGACGCGGGGCTCGAACCATGAACCGCAAGATCATGACCTGAGCTGAGGCCTGACGCTTCCCGGACTGAGCCACCCCAGGCGCCCTCACCCTCCTTTTCCTAACCAGCCTCAAGCGAAGTTGTGACCGGCGCCTGCTTGGCGGACGTGCCCTGGGAACTCACCACTTGCCTGGATGCTCCCTCTGAAATCTACCTTGAGCCCCTCCTGCTGCTGTCCTTACCTGCCTCGTGCTGCTCTGAGGTTCCTGGGCCCTGCTTGCTGACCCGGAGCCCTCTGACACCAGGAAAGGCTGGCGGCCCCTCCACAGCCCTGCTCGGCACAGAAGCTGGACCTAGCCAGAGAAAGCCAAGAGAAGGTTCTGGGCAGGTGTGTGGTCCCTTCTGGCACCCCACCTCTAGGGAACCTGAGCTGGCTGCCTCCAGCGGGCGCAGAGCTGAGATGAAAGGGGCAGGCCTGGGGGCTATTTCTGTACGGGGTCCCCCAGAGGACAGGGGCTCTATCCGCTCTCCTGGCTCCCCCAGGAATCACACCCTGCTTACCTGCCTCATTAACTTGCTGGCCTACCGGACAGAGACGTTGGTGCCTGCCAGGTCCCCAGGCCCCAGAGAGAGCCATTAGCAACAGCAAGACCTGCCTCCCACCCTCGTCCATGGGCACACATCACTCTCTCCAGCCCACCTCTCCCCGTCTGTCTGTCTGTCTTGGAACCTACTGCAATCTAGAAACTTCTCAGAGCAGGGAGACACTTGTGGGCTGACGGAGAGGATCCAGGAAGGGAGAAGAGATCGGGGATAAGAAAGAATCCATAAGAGGGGCCAGGGAGAGAACGGCCTAGATCACAAAGTCCTCCTGCATGTTGTCTAGAGGTTGAATGGGGTCCGTTAAAGGCATTGGATCCAACCTTTGGTGGCTTCGGATGCCTGAACCTTTTCCACCTTGCCTCTTGCCAAGGGTCACCCAACTGCCACTTGTATGCCTCTATTGACAGAGAGCTCACTGCTGTGGAGGCATCCCTTTCAGAACCGAGCAGAGGGATGGGGGCCAAGATCGGAGACTGATTCGACCTGTAGGCAAGCTCTGTCTTCCACCTCCCACCCTCCCTTCCTCTCCTGCAGTCTCTTGCTCTGTACCTCTTTCTCTTGGAACTGTCTCTGCTTGTCTCCCCCACGGAACCGGGGTTTCCTTGGATTCAGCTGGGGAATTCACCAGGATTGAAGGATCACGAAGTTATCATTACGCACCCTGCATCCTGCACACGCTGGCCTGCAGGACATGGTGGGTGTCGTTGCGGTTAGCGGCAAGATGACGGGGACAACAATCACGACAAACCTACGTGACGGGAGATAGTCCAACACTGAGGGGCCGTCTCCCTAAGATTCTCGAAACAAGCTCCTTAAGGGCACGGGAGACCACAGCCCGGGGGGGCTGTACCTTTCAGGAGGCAAATGTTGTGCAGTTCTGGGAATCCCTGCAAAAGCTCCAAAGAGGAGCCCACGAGTGACCCGCGGCCAGTGTCTCTGCTGCTCCCCAGGCCCCACCAGCCACACCCCAGCTGGACCTCGAGAGCACCCGGAGACTGACGACTGAGGGCAGAGAGCTGCACCAGGGGACATCTTGGCATTAGAGCAGGTGACCTTTGAATGCGACCCCTTAGAGTCAGGTCTGGGGGAAAGGAAGTGGGGGAGGGGGGGACAGGAGACAGGAGGAACAGGGCTTGTCAGGGGCCATCAGAACATTGCTCTTTCCCCAGACTCAGATTCTGCTCGGAAGGAACTCCATGCTTGCAAACAGGGGTGAATGGGACAAGGTTCACCAGCTTTGTCAGGCACGAAACAGGGGGACTGCTTGAATAAAGAGTATTTTGTCATTAACAGGCTGTATCCGTTAGCAATCAGCCCCGAAGCAAGCTCCCAGGGAAGTTTCTCTCCCTCTCCTTAGCGTTTATTTTTCATTTTGATTATATCAAGAACACCGAATCGTTGCAGAAGATCTGGAAATACAAACACATATAAAAAGGGAAATAACACCTCCGCACATTCACCCTGCAATATTACCACCCAGAGATGTGTGCCCAAGAATGCGGTGTGCTTTCCTTCATTCATTTTTCTAGACTTTTCCTTTCTTTAAAGAGTTTTCACCACCATCACCTCAGCAAAGTCCTTCTTCAGAGTGCAAAGGGCAGCGTTAGTGCAGCCCTACCCTGGGATCCGAGTCCTGACCGGAGGAGGGGTTTTCCTGAACATCCGAGCTGGCCGTCTCTGTCATTGCTGTGTCCAGGCAGGTGGGACAGGAGCCGAGGAACAGGAAACCCGAGGGGTGCCGTCCTGTCCTGGCTGGGCCAGATGGTCAGAAGCAGCAGACAGAGCTCTTGGATGGCCTCTTGGGGGCCACCTCCACCAGGGAGTCCTTCAGACGGTCTTCCTGCATCTTGAGTGACCTGTGTGACGACGCCAGACATCAGTCCTCTGTCTCACCTTGCCGGGGCAGCAGGGAGGGACCTGCGGGTGCAGCTGTGGGGCTGGGGGATTGCATCCCCTGAGCTACCTCTCTTCCCCCCCTGCTCTGTTCCCGTCCTGCATTCCACACGGCACCGGAAAAATGGGGCTATGGAGACTTTTGCCCTCTCTTTCCTGGCATCCTTTCCAGACTACTGTGTGCCAGGCTTGGTGCAAGGGACTCTGAATGGGACAGTGAAGCCGGCATGTCCTTGCCTTGGGTGGTAAGGGAGACAGAGAGGAGAAGGGGCTGTCAGAACCCAGGAATGGGGAAGCATGCCGAGGGACCTCACACCAGGTTCTCCAGGGATTTACGGAGGAAGGAGGCAGCGTCAGAGCAGAGACCCAGCAGAGTACAAGGGTTCACTAGCAGAAAAGCAGGGTGCATTCCAGGCAGGGGGCAAAGGCTCAGTGTCAAAAGATAGCTGGGGATTGGGGAAATAAAAGAAGCTCATTGGTTCATTCACTTGCTCTGATTATATTTATTGTGTGGGGACCACTGCGCTAACTCCCAAAGGCTAAAGACTGACCGGCCCAGAAAGAAGCCTTGTAGGCAACAGGGGGTCAGGGCCCCCAGGGGCCTGGAAACCACATTCAGGAACCCGGGCTTCTGTTCTACAGCGGAGGGAATCCGTTGAGCAGTTTTGGATCAGAGACCATCACAGTGTGATCGGGTGCGTGGTTTGGCAAGCTCGCCCTGGTGGCTTTGTCAGAGAAGGGCCTTCCAGATCATCTGGCCTAGTACCCCGTCCGCCTTACCCATTTCATTCATTTCTTGGGCACCTAGTATGTGCTGGGCCCTGGGTGTGGAGGGAGGGGCTGAACAAAACAGATGCGGCCCTGCCCTTCTGGAGCTACAGTCTGGTGCAGGAGGCCGACAGCAACAAGGAAGCAGACAAATGCACCTGTGATTACGATTTGTCAAGAAGGGTTTTTGTTTGGTTTTGTTTGTTAGTTTTTTCAAAAAAATTTTTAATGTTTATTTATTTTTGAGACAGAGAGAGACAGAGCATGAACGGAGGAGGGTCAGAGAGAGAGGGAGACACAGAATCTGAAACAGGCTCCAGGCTCTGAGCGGTCAGCACAGAGCCCGACGCGGGGCTCGAACTCACGGACCGTGAGATCGTGACCTGAGCTGAAGTTGGCGGCTTAACCGACTGAGCCACCCAGGCTCCCCATGAAGGGTTTTTTTTTTTTAAGTTTGTTTATTTTGAGAGAGAGGAGAGCACAAGCCAGGGAGGAGGAGGGGCAGAGAGAGGGGGAGAGAAAGAGAACCCCAAGCAGGCTCCCCGCTGTCAGCGCAGAGCCCGACGCGGGGCCCGAACTCACGAACCGCGAGATCACCACCTGAGCCAAAATCAAGAGTTGGATGCTTCACTGACTGAGTCACCCAGGCGCCCCAAGAAGGGCTTTGAAAGACACAAACAGAGGACAGGGATCCAGAATAGTGGTGGGATGGGGAGTGGTCAGGGAGGGTCCCCCCCTAAACAGCTGGAGCTGAGTGAGTGTGCACGTACACACGCACGCAGGGACAGGGGAGATGAGGAAGGCCACTGCGAGGCATTGGGATTTTATTCTAAATCTAGTGGGAGTTACTAGAAGGCTGGGAGCAGGAAAGTGACTCTCTCTGTCCCACCACACTGCACAGAGGAGAAAGCCGAGGCTCAGACAGGGCACGTGAGACTTTTAGGAGGTGATGCAGTCAACGGCGTTGGTAGAACTGGCTTCGGACTCTCTGCACAGTGCTCTCTGTCCTTCCCCAGAGTGTGAGCCCTGTGTTATCGCAGTGCTTCCTCAGAGTGGGCCTTCCCTCCCTCAGGAGGGGTCTGGAGGTTGCCCAGGAGGCCCTCGGGGTGGGGAGGGGCGGGGTGGCACTCACCGGGCCAGGTTCATCATGGACTCCTGGATGTTGTGACCTAGGGCGGCGCTGCACTCCCCAAAGGAGACTCCCAGCTCCTGCAGACAGACAGGGGTATGGGTGCCCTCGCGGAGCACACTGAGCATCCTGGTGGCCGCCCCCACCGCCAAAGCCCTGGCCATCAGACAGAGTCCCACCCAGTACATCCCTAGGCCAACCATAACAAGCGAGGCAGACCCTTCTCCGTGTGGCCACTGGTCCCAGCCCTGGTCCTGCCCACTGGCCCTCTCCACCCTGGCCAGCCACCATGCTAAAGATGCCACCCCGGAAACGTTCCAGAGCCCACAGAGCAATGGTGGAAAGCCCGTGTCCCAACTTGGAGAAATGTCCCTGGGGATATATATTTTTTTTTTTAATTTTTTTTTTTAACGTTTATTTATTCTTGAGACAGAGAGAGACACACAGCACGAGCAGGGAAGGGGCAGAGAGAGAGGGAGACACAGAATGTGAAGCAGGCTCCAGGCTCTGAGCTGTCAGTGCAGGGGCCCAAACCCAGGAACAGCGAAGTCACGACCTGAGCTGAAGTCAGACGGTCAACCAACTGAGCCACCCCAGTGCCCCCCTCCGGGGGCATTTTAAACCATTAGTTGTGTGGGGTTTTTTATTTCAAAAATATTCAACTGGGGGAAATACTGGAAAATACAGCATTCAAAAAGTGTAAGTGCAGGGGCGCCTGGGTGGCTCAGTCGGTCGGGCGTCTGACTTTGGCTCGGGTCATGATCGTGGTTCGTGAGCTCAAGCCCCACATCAGGCTCCCTGCCCCTCGCACAGAGCCCACTTGGGATCCTCTGTCCCACTCCCTCTCTGCCCTTCCCCTGCTCACACTCTCTCTCTCAAAAATGAATAAACGTTTCTAAAAATGTATAGGTGCAAAATATAAACCACTCCTGTTAGTGTTTGATATATATCTTTTCGCTCTGTTTTATTTTTTATTTTTTTATTGTTTATTTTTGAGACAGAGAGAGACGGAGCATGAACAGGGGAGGAGCAGAGAGAGAGGGAGACACAGAATCCGAAGCAGGCTCCAGGCTCCGAGCCGTCAGTCCAGAGCCTGACGCGGGGCTCGAACTCACGGAGCGCGAGATCATGACTTGAGCCGAAGTCGGACGCTTAACCGACTGTGCCACCACCCAGGCGCCCCTCGCTCTGTTTTATATAACCCTTTGGGGTAGGGTGGGCTCAAGGTCATTGTACTGTTGGATTAAAGCATATGCAATGGCTAGTTTGACGGGGCCCTGGTCAAATATCAGCAACCTCACAGGATTCAGACGACCAGCTGTTCTTTTGACTTCTCGTTATAGTGTAAGCACTTCCTCCACACCCTCAAATATTGTTTCTGGGACGCGATTCTTAACGGCAAATGCTAGCCTCTCCCATGAACCTCCACAATTTGACCACCACCCCCTGCCAAATGTCTGTTCTTATAAATAATACTGTAAATAACATCCTCGCGTAAACATTCTTGATTATACATTACACGCGGGTATCCATTACTCTATCCTCGTAGGGATTATTATTTCTGATTCTTTCCTCAGGATGAGTTGCCAGAGGAGGAATTACCATGTCGAAGAGATGAGCCACTGCATTTAGGAGGGAAACATTCCCGCCAACCAGGAGCCACAGTGATGACCTCATGATTACGAGAAAAGAGAAGAGGAAGGAAATATAATATGGAAATGCCAAGAGGGGTTGTAGCAGAGGTGGGGCAAGGGGTGGGCTCTTTTTTCCTTCTCTATTATTCTCCAGAGTTTCTGGAACGTGGCCAAATTCTATTCGTGAATAAATAGCATCCGCTGCCTGGTGGTGGGGCTTTGGATGCGCTCTCGCCAGAGAAGAATTTGAGTCCTAAGATAGAATAAATTAGAAGGAATGCTATGTTAATTAGAGACCAGAGAGAAAAGTAAGATTTGATTGGGAATTTTAAGTGAAGCTTTTAAAACCTTTCTTTACTCGGAAGATACTTTTGTGGGGGTCAGAATGCTGTGTGGAGAACTGCTAGTTCAACGTGAGGGTCAATGTCACGCCCACCATCACAGCTTCACGTTTGGGCCCAAGAACAGGGTAGGTCAGAAATAGAGGGGGCCAGGCCGCTGTCCACTCTGACCCGGCCTTTGGCAGGGCAGGGGCAGGGGCAGGAACGGGCGACGGGTCCTTCTCGGTTAGCCAGGCCGGGGTGACCCGTCCACTAACCTCCAGGGAGGGGTCTGCCCAGTCCAGGCTGGGTGAGGGCCTGACGCCCGGGTGCTCACCTGGGCCAGCTGCTGCCCGGCCTCGGTGGGCACCTGCCGTTTCTCCTCACAGTCCATCTTGTTTCCCAGGAGAAGCGCGACCACCCCGTCGGACCCTGAGTCCTGCACACAGAACACATTCCCTCAGCCACACGTGCTGGGTGCCTGCTATGCTGTGCCAGGCCCTGGGTGGACGCGGCCCCGCCCTCCAGGGAGCTGACTAAGCACACCCTGCCCCCCCCACCCCCACCCCCATGACGGCCTTTCTGGGTCACACCCACTCCACACCCTTCGGTCGACAGTGAGTCAGCCCCTCCTCTCTGCCTACCAACTTGTCAGCCATTTTCCGAGGCCAGCCTCAAAAGTGCCTCCCCTAGCAGGCCTTCCAGGATTGTTCCCGCCCCTGCCCTTCTCTTCCTGCCTGTGCTGAACAGCCCGGTGCTTGATTACACAGGCCGGCTTGGCTCATTTCCTAGTGGTTTCATGACTACTACTACTGCTGCTAAGCTTCTGTTTACTGAGTGCTTACTATATACCCAGCATTGTGCTAAAGGCAATGATGTCAGTGAATCCTAACAACTGTCTGAGAGAAGCTGGAAAATCGAAGTTCGGAGAATCTGAGTCACGTGTCCAAGGTCACAGAGTTGGGGCAGGGTAGTTGGGATTCACACCTAGGTCCTGTCAGACCCAGAGCCCAGCCTCCTTCATATATCACCTTATCCTACTTCGTTGGCTTCTCTTCAACTAGACTAGAAACTCCCACAGAGAAGACAACACGTCTTCCCTCACACCCCTCTGCGGTGCTAGCCCATGCTGCAGAATTTCAGTGTGTGCGTGTCAACTAAGCACACGGGGCGAGAACTAGAGACGGGTGGACGGACGACTTATCACTTAGAGTGTCGCTACACTTGCATTATTCCCAGGTGTTAAGAAGACACCCCCAAGCTACTGCATATAGGAAAGAAATGTTCATAAGATAAAGGAAGTAGTTTGTTTTGGAGGCGGTACTATGTGGTTGTGGTTTCTTTGTGTGACGATGCCCCCGGCCCATCCAGCCACCTGCCCTCAGCGGGTCGCATCACCCACGAGTCTGCTGTGTCATTTGTAATCCTGGGAGAAAGGGGGGGTGTGGGCAGGGTGCAAGTTCCCTCTTGGTTCCCCAAACTGGGGCCAACCCCAGCAGCCATCGGCTCACCTGGAGACAGTCCAGCCAGTGGCGCACGTGGGCAAAGCTCTCCTGGGAGGTGACGTCGTACATGAGTACCACTCCATCAGCCTTTCGGAGTAGCTGCCGAGTCACGCTGTGGTACCTGCCCAGACGGTCTGCGTGAGGCCAGGCCTGGGGGGCTGACCCCATGCCCTGGCCTCTCCAGGCCTTAGCTACTTCGTCTGCAAAGCGGGGCAAGGAGCCTCACCTGCTTCTAATTGCTTCCCAAACAGAGTTTTCCTTCTCACAGGGTAGTTCTCGTTGAATAGGTAATGGTTCTCATGGCTCAGACTTCAGAAGGTACCAGGCAGCACCCAGTGAAAAGTCTGACACCACCCCCCCCCCCCCCC